TTGATTGATCGTAAAGTTATTTTAATTGTCAGTTAATCTTAGCTTAAACTTATCTTAAATTTTCTTTTTATTCTTTTATTCTAGAAAATGTGAGCATCATCGGCTCGGATGACATGACCACCTGTATAATTGTCGTTGTAAGGCATTCTGGTAAGTGCTAATGTATTAGTTAATTACATTATCATTAGAATTATTAAGAACAATACATAAATGAATAATTAGAATGAACGAAAGTTACATAGTAAATAAATGTAATACAATATATTTATAAATCAATACAAAATAATTTTGATCATCTTGTTCAGGTTCGGGTGCTGCTGCATTGGCACACCTGGATGGAGCTGGCACAGAAGATGCGGCAGCAGCGATGATCCAGAGGGTAACCGAGCTTGCCCTTGGATTTCCTGAGGGTCGTCTAGAACTACAACTCGTCGGTGGTTATTCCGATCCAAGGAATTATTCCGAAGAACTGTTTTGCAATATTCTTTGTAAGTTCTTGTCAGTTTTTCCTTTTCTCTCTGTACTTGTATGAAACATTGAGAGACATTTTGTTTTAATTTTAGCGGCATTTCACAAGCAGCCTGTGGAGATCGATCTAACTCTATGTTGTGTAGGCGAATTAAACACCACAGTAAGAGGTGGCATCCACTGGCCGGTAATATACGGCATTGGTTTGAATGTAAAAACAGGCGAGATTTTCCCTGCAACCTTCCCTGATAAAGGACCTGATCAAGCGCTGAGATGCGCTAGGCATTTAACTGGAGGTCAACAAGTACGTATGTAAGAATATTCCAATGAAATCGCAGTATATCTAAACTTCTTACAAATCTTCTGTTGAATAAAATAACAATAAAAATAAATCACTTATATAACGTTAACTACAAGTGATAATATATGTAACGTATAATGTCAAATGATACAAATTTTTTATAATTTTTTAATACATTGTGTTATATGTAGGTTTTGGATGTTTACGACTGTACACTTGGTTTACTCAGAATCGGACCATTCAACTATGATCCTTTAAGGGGAGTCGACCTTTGGTTAGCACAATCCGATCAATTTATTCTACAACATCTTTCGACTGCGCCGGAAGTCGAATTGCCGCATTTTGTATCACAGGTAATGTAATATAACTTGTTAAATCAAATCACAAGGTTAACGCTGGATTAATATTTTTAACTTGTGTATTTTATTCTTGTCCGTTCACCTTCGATAATAATAAATTTGTCCAGGTACGCGCTACGCTCAAATATATACAGGACAATCAATTTCCGGCTGTCACCGTCTTCCGTGATAACAGACCCCATTATTATCGTCGGGACGAAACCACCGGTATTTGGCAGCCCATACGATATTGATATTGATTATTCAAGTTTTATATATATATATATATATATA